GGCACTCCTTATGCTTCTAGTTAAGCACATTTGAGATGACAGGAAAAAGGTTTCAGAGAAAGATGTGGAAAGGGCCTGTGGCAACAAGGATGGACAAATAATGAAAATGTGGTCTGTTGGGCTGCACTTAGCGTGGCTGGACAAAACCCAAGAGGTCAGCAGAGGACAAGAGATCTCTGGATGAAAAATGAGAGGGCAGGACCTCTCCCAGGGCATAGTCAGACACTCTAAACCACTTCAGGATTAAATTCTTTGCCACCAAAGGGCTTTTACCAGCTGTCCAGTTCATCAGCTCCTTCTGGGGCTCAGTCCATCATTTGCCGTTTGCTGGATGTGGGTTTTCACTGCCTTGGCAAGGTGTCTCGATGAAACCTGACAGCTGGCAGAAGGAGAACAGGGAGCCCAGGGGCAGAGGGACCACCTCTCCGTGGGAACGAGCTGTTGGATCAGTACAACCCATCTTTGCAGAACCGCACCAGTTACTCCCACCCCTCAGCACCTTGTTAGTGGCAGGGATTTCTTCCAGCATTTACCGTTTGATCCAGCAGATCCTCCCTTGTAAGCGTGGAGCGGGTACGGGTGGCTGCTTGTGGTGACTTCTTTGAGTCCATGTGTGAACGTGGCCCGCGGGGCTTTGCACACACGCAGAAGGTCCATGCCAAAGCTGACAGCCTGCAGCCAGTTTTTACACACAGGGCCCTGCTGACCTGCCTGCTGCCTACCCTGCGCTCCCTGGCAGCAACTGGTGGTGCCTCTCTGCTTGGTGCAGGTGTCAGTCTCAGTATCGCATCATAAACTGTATGAATTGCCTGGAAATAAGTGTTTTTTGTTTTTTTTTTTTTGTTTGTTTTTTTGTTTTTCAAAGGAGTCCTATGTTTTTTGAAGAACAAATAAATAGGAGGAGGAGGTAGCAGCCTGGTACTAGGTGCTCACCTATTTTACACACAAGGGGCTCTAATAACTCGGACTGCTTTTCAAATGCCTTCTCCAAATAGCTGTTGCTAATTAGTTCAAGACATTGCAGGAATTTTTAATCCATTTTTCTTGCCTTTTACAGTTACTTCAAAGCCCAGAAGAGCCCGAGCCTGCATATAGAGCGCCTAATTTTGCCATGGCAAGGAAGAAGCGCATCCTGCTCGCACGGTGCCAGCCCGGCCCCGTGCCCTGCGGAGGTGTGGGCACCGTCCCCTTTTTGGCAATTTCGTGAGTCTTAAACGCCCCTTAGGCTGTTGGTGCCAGTTCTAAGGGTTTAACCGTGTTTCCATAATCGTTGGGTGGTGACTTTGCTTTGGTGCCACCGGGTGCCGAGGGCAGCCCGGGCCCGGCAAAACCCGTTTCCTCCCGGAGGAGGGGAAGGAGGGAGGGAGGGAAGAGCCGC